GTATATGGGGCCGGCGCCCTACCCACTGAGCCACAGGCGCCACCCTATTTGTTTTATTTTTCAAGATAGAGTCTCACTCTGCCGCCTAGGCTAGAGTGCGGTGACCTCAGCCTAGCTTATAGCAACTTCAAGCCCCTGGGCTCAAGTGATCTTCCTGCCTCAGCCTCCCTAGCAGCTGGGACTAAGGGTTCCTGCCACAACACCCAGGTAATTTTTCTATTTCAAGTAAAGACAAGTCTCACCCTTGCTCAGGCTGGTCTCCAACTCCTGAGGACAAGCAATCCTCCAGCCTTGGCCTCCTAGAGTGCTGGGATTACAGGTGTAAACCATTGCACTCCGCCTAAAAGCCATAATTTAAAAGTCTATGGTTTTAAGAGTCTGTGTTTTCAAGAATTTCTAAGCCTATGCATGCAACAGGTGGTCAGAGTTTGGGCAGATGCCGAGCGGTGAATAAGCTACTTCATACACAGCCTTGAGGATGTGACCAGGGCCTTAAGGTGTGGTTAAAGTCTAGAGGTGGGGCCAGGGTCGTGGTGGGTGTGATCACAATTTAGGGCGCAGCTAAAAAAATATTCCCACGGCAGGAGGAAAACCTGTACTCAGAGTGCCCTCTTGTGGTTACCCTCAGGTCTCTACTTTTTATTTAACAGCTTCGTTGAGGTATATAATGCTTATACCAGGCCAGGAGCCATGGTTGGCGCCTGTAATCCTAGCACTCTAAGAGGCTGAGGTGGTGGATTGCCTGAGATGACAGGTTTGACACCAGCCTGAGCGAGAGCGAGACCTCGTCTCTAAAAAAATAGCCAGGTCTTGTGGCGGACGCCTGTAGTTCCAGCTACTTGGGAGGCTGAGGCAAGAGAATCCTGTGAGCCCAAGAGTTTGAGGTTGCTACAAGAATTATGATGCCATAGCATTCTACCAAGGACGACCAAGTGAGACTCTGTCTCAAAAATAAATAAATAAATAAAACTAGCTAGGCATTGTGACAGGTACCTGCAGTCTCAGGTACTTGGGAAGCTCAGGCAGGAGGATCACTTAACTCAAGAGTTTGAGGTTGCTGTGAGCTATGACACCACAGCACTCAATTCCAGGGTGACAGAGTGAGACTGTCTCAAAAAACTTTTTTTCTTTTTTTTGAGACAGAGTCTCACTCTGTCACCCTCTGTAGAGTGCTTGGCATCCTCGCTCACAGCAACCTCAAACTCTTGGGCTCAAAGCAATTCTCTTGCCTCAGCCTCCCAAGTAGCTGGGACTACAGGCAGCTTCCACAACACCTGGGTATTTTTACATAGTCTTACTATGTCCCCCTCAGTAGAGTGCAGTGTCATCACAGCTCACAGCAACCTCAAACTCTTGGGCTTAAGCAATTCTCTTGCCTCAGCCTTCCAAGCA